TAGGATCCCCGTAACGAAAACCATGAGACAGCCCACCGCATCTAGTCTGATACTCAACCATCGTTGGTTCGAGAAAGTGAGAAAATATGCGCTATTCATATTATCGATTGCGGCGCGAATTCGCTTAATGAAGTGATCTTGGAGGCCGTATGCTCTGATTGATGCAGTGCCTGAAACAGCTTCGCCAAATTGCGCAAACACAACGGATCGAAGAATGGCTTCGTGCCGTTTCATTTCTCGGGCAGAAGCTCTGTAGAAATTCGCCGCCAGCAGGAAAAGAACAAGAAGCGGAACGAGGGCCACAGCAAACTTTGGTCCTGTTAGCCTTTGGCGATATCAATTGAAGCGGAAACAAAGATACTTACGAAGTGGTAAAAGACAATGATTAGTGCCATGACTGAGATGATCATGGTGAAAGTTAGGTAATATATCCGCATGGCATCACACAGGTCGTTATCCATGGTGTGGATGTCCTTTGAAAAACGATTGGTAATGCGTCCAAGAGGTGTCGTATCGAAAAAGGACATCGGAGCTCTTAGAACTCGTGTCATTGCCTTTTGCAACATGCTCTTACTGGCGTTTGTCCCACTAGTTGTAAGGATCGTAGAGAATCCATACATTAAGATTGCTTGTGAAGCTCCCAAAGCTGCATATATGCCCATATATTCCCCTTGCGGGAGGTTAAATTTATCCGAAGTCCAGTAGGACAACCACAGACTTGTGACGATGTTCGCGCCGTTGCATAGGAGCAGGAAGATGACGATGAGAGGAAAATTAGTAGGCCACCCAAATGATGAGATATATGCCCACCACACTTTCCAACTCACAGAGTCTATAGCTCGCTCCTCCTGCTGCATCAACATAGCCGGCTGTTTGGAAGATTTCGTCTTCTCGTCTGGCTTTTCTTCCTCTTCTATCTCATCATTTTCCTTTTTCTCATTTTCCTTTTCCTCCTCTTGAGACGTTGTTGCCATCAACCTTTGGAATAACTCGCTGTCACGCATAAGATTATCGAAGGTGTCTACTGACTCTATGCGGCCATCATTCATGAGAATAATTCTATCGCAACGATTAAGAACATGTAGCTGATGCGTCGCTAGGATCCGGCACTTGTCTTTAAGCAAGCCACAAATCGCGTTATCCATAATGTGCCGACCAACATGGGCATCAACAGCTGATAGCGGGTCATCCATCAGAACAAGGTCAGCGTTAAAATAAATAGCCCTAGCGATATTCAATCGCTGCTTCTGTCCGCCGGAAATCGTGATGCCTCGTTCGCCGATTTCTGTTTTGTCGCCAGCCGGAAGCATTTCAAGATCTGCTCGCAAGGCGCACGCCTCAATAACTTCATCGTACCAAACCTTGTCGTATTCTTTGCCAAAGAGGATGTTTTCCTTCAAGGTTGCGTTCTGGATCCATGCATACTGCGGGCAGAACGCTCGTGAGGCACCCATAGTCACTTCGCCACCAGTTAATCTCATATCTCCTGCAAGTGCAGCCAAAAGTGACGTCTTTCCGGAACCTACTGTCCCAATAACGGCAAGAAGCTCGTTTCGACCAGCAGTAAAATTCAAATCGCTAAGCTTGAATGGTTCACTGGGGCTTTTGGTACCGGAATCTGTTCCTTGACCACTCTCCTCCAAAGGCAGTTGAGGCCCCTTGCTGTGATATTTTCCTTTCTTACCCCCTTTTCTGTTGGCTTTCTCGCTCTCGTCTGGATCAGTGGGCAGCCTTTCCCACGTGAATGACGCATCTTCCAGCTCCAGAGCATTGGCCATGGTTTTGTCCCACTTGATATCATCCTTTTGTTCTTCTGCAAGGAGAAATTCTTGAATTCGGCAAATCGCTGTCCAGGCATCTGTTACCTGGCCAATCACCAGAGGAAGCATGTTCAATGGCAAGCGAAGAGTATTGAAAAGCGCCAGAGATGAGAAAATCGGCGCAGGAGTAAGTTCGTGATTCGTGAGGGCATAAGTTATGAAAGCCAACATTGAGGCAAAAACAGGAAGCGACAATGAAACACACAAAATCGCATTGCGAATAGAGAGGACGAACTGAATAGCTGTAATCTCTCGCGTTCGGATATCCTTTAGTCTATCCAAAAAGCTGCTCTCCCAACCAAAGAATTTGACGAACCTGACTGCCTGCAGGATTTCTTGCGTGAGGGATACTCGCTGATCCGTTATTACATTGATGCGCTGACGCCGAATAATCAGCAATCTGATAGAGTAAGTAAGTAATGGCACGCCTAAAATCAGCAATGCATATCCCGAGAGAGCACTGTATCCTATATTGACCAATAGAAGAATAAGGGCGACAATAATAATGATTGGGGATGTCCAGAGCAAATGAAACAATCCAAGAGCTTTGTCAATCCGATCGGTGTCGATACTCATCAGCGCGACAATCTTTCCATTGCTCCATCCGCTTCCATCTCCAGCGATATTAGCAGCAGTCTTTGCCGATATCTTCGGTTTAGATCTCTGTTTTCCAGCCTTCTTTTCGGAAATCTCTCTGATAACTCCATCTCTGGCAGTTTGAAGCTCTGCTTCATCGGATTCGTTTGCTTCACGATGGGGGTTTTCTCTCCCGCCGGCTTTCGCTCTACCAGAGAGCTTTGTCGCCTTTGCAAAAATAGCGTTCACCAGTGCTGCTCGAGACTGACCCCCTACCATCATTCCGTGGAAGAAAAATTGACTCGTAGTCAAGCTCTGGAAAACCTGCATCACACATATGCCGACCGCAATCCCAATTCCCCGTCCAACATGTGGTTCTGGACGGCCTGTGAATTTTGCAATGTATGCATCTGTGGCAAAGGCGATCAAGTACCTTGTTAGGTAAGGGGTAAACGCCTGTAGAAGAGACGAAAAGACTTGGCAAACGCCTCCGAGCCAGAATTCGAATTTGAAGGTCTCATAGATAGCCCAAAGCAGCGGGTAACGGTCCCCACGTTCGACTCGTCTCCTGAACGAGGAATCTAATCTCTCTGATAGGATATCCACTGATCTCTCTGGGTTGACCAGCCAGATATCTTGCAATTCAAGTGGGCGCAAATAGCCCGTCTATGCTAGCAATTAGCGGGGTGTAGAGATATTCGGTTGGAAACTTTCAAGTGGCGTAAATAAATTGAATTCTAAGAAAAGATAAAGGCGCCTCACCATCATCAGCGGGCTCATCCATTGGAATGTTATGAGACTTAAGATTCCAGCCTTGTATTCTCTTGATACCGTTCGCTCTTCTGGTATCGGAGGCGGCTGCCGGAGCCTCAACGGATTGAGTTTTGTATACCATCTTGTTTTTCTTTGAGCCAATGCAGTTGTGTTGTGCCTTTCTTCAATTTTATCGCTGGTTACAGAGCCGGCTGTGCTACTGGAAGCATTTTGCGAATCCTTCTCATCGCTCGACCCGACGAATACCCTTGCAAGTGGTACAGGCTCGGATGATACCAAGGAAGACTGCTGCTCTAAGCGTGATTGCGTTTCCACATCTTTGTCATGTCCTGAAGCAGCCATGCTGGCTGTGCTTCACTGCTCATGCAGTGTCACCTTTCGCAGGAAAAATGAGTTGCTGTGGGCCGATGACGTCAGGACAAACAGCATCATAAACCATTCAGAACAGTCTTATAGAATCAATATCAGAGGAAAGGGTGACAGAGGTAAGGTGAGATTTCAGCATAGTTTCATCCTTTTTTTTTGGTTGATAGCAAAAAGTGAAAAATTTTTTTACCAACTCCTGGCGGCAGTTAATAGTGGCAGCGAGAACACACGTTGACTAAGTTATTTAGTTATGCCGCTGTTATTGCTGACAAAATATGCCCCCGGACGCGCATAACTTGGGGCCGACTTGCCGACCAAACCCAAGGTTATGCGCGGTGCGGTTCCACTCTTTTCGCTAACGATCTGTCCCCCATCTGCCACGAATTTCGGTGTAGCGCCCCAATGGCTTCAAGACAGGATGGCTGCTACCAGCAAGGGGCCGGGGCTGTGGCGATTTTCCCCATTGCGCAGACTGGCCCATGGGACACCATCCCAAATATCCAAAAGAACGAGTTCTCGTCGTTAAGCGTCCACTGCACGGAAACTGCTCCTACAATATCTCTATAGCGCGGGGTTCGAACGGACATGACGACGGGCGACGGAGCGACGGACGTGTTGCGTTTTTATGAGGTAACAAACCTGGTTTCAGAGAGAGGAGAGCGGAGGGTTCCATGTGGAGTTTGGGTTGATAAGCAAGTATTGCGATTGGGTCATCGATTGCTCATTGACCCAGCGCTAGTTAGCCGACCCTGAAGCGTTGCTTACACTCTGTACTCCGTAATCCGGTCGAAAAGACGGAAGGAGGAAGCTAGCATGGTTAAAGGGCATGAAGGGGAGCAAACCAGGGCTACAGCTGCATATCACATATATATAAGACGCTCAACAGTTTCATCTCCCACAGCCTGGTTCGTGAACAATCCTCCAGATCTAACCACCCTCCTCTTTCTGAACCCCACCAGTATCGCAAGTCAATCCCAGACAAGCTTCCACCAAGAAGGCCTAGAGCCCGTTTTCCGATAAATGTCGATCCTCCCTTTTCATGGAACAGAAGCCCTTGGGAAGAAGCTCATCTATGCACCACCTAACTACCTTGGGGCGTTGATAATTTTGTCAATATTCATATATCTTAGCCAGCCCTGAAACACACTGTTAACAATGTGATACCATGGATATCTAAGAAAGCCACCAAGCGGGTGAAACAACAAAGCCCCGCAGCGCCAGAACATTTGTTTATCCATCTTCAATCTTGATTTACAAGGTCAAGAGGTCAATACAGCTCAACTTTGCAATACATTGTGTGAGAAAACAAATTATCAGCTCTCAAGGTAATCTGTCACGCTACAAATTAACAGTTAACACTGCCTTCCAATGTTCCAACGCAAGGTCAGTTCGATTTACACTGTAGGAGAACCAAGGAACCCGAACCCAAGAACTACCATGAAAGGTTCAAAACTTTTCATTTGTTTGGGGCATGTATATCATTATATTTCATGAACATCATTCATTGGCCAAAGAAATCCCAATCCTATCCAAACAACAAGTATAGTATACTGGAACCAATAATGCTAGCAGTAAAACACTCGTGGTGTTAGCGAGAGCGCAGGAAGCAGCACATATTAGCGAACATCACTAACTTTGCTATTCCCTTTGGGCATCAGAGAATATTTATTTCTTTCAGGCTTTGAGCTCTTTCAAGGACTCCTCAATGATGCTTAGAGCCTGTTTCATCTGCTCATCGGTGATCACCAATGGTGGTGCAAACCGAATGATGTTTTGATGAGTTGGTTTAGCCTAAAATCACAAAGTTAGATCTTGATATGATTCCCATGAGTCGAGGCTACTCACCAATAAGCCCTTTTCTTTCATAATCATGCACAGATCCCAGGCAGTGCGGCCTCCCGTCTTGGACTCGTCGACAACAATAGCATTCAACAGGCCACGGCCACGGACCGTTTGGATGATGGGGTTGTTGAGGGCATTGAGACCATCTCGGAATATTTTACCAAATTTCTCGGCACGCTCGGTCATCTTCTCATCACGAATAACCTCCAGTGCTCGATAAGCAACTGCACAGCCCAATGGGTTGCCACCATATGTCGAGCCGTGTGTGCCAGGTTCAATCGTAAGCATAACATCTTTGTGCCCCAGGACGCATGAGACGGGGTACATTCCTCCTGAAATTGCTTTGCCGAGGAGGACCAAGTCTCCCCTGATTCCGCTCCATTCCTGGCAAAGCAGTTTTCCTGTTCTAGCAATACCTGTTTGGATTTCGTCGCAAATGAGGAGAGCATTGTGTTTGTCGCAGAGAGCACGGGCTTCCTGAAGGTAGTCTTCGTCGGGGACCACAATGCCGGCTTCACCTTGGATTGGCTCCACCAAGAAAGCGGCGATCTTAGGGCCAGCGGCCTCGAAGGCCTCACGCAACGCTTGCTTGTCGTTGTATGTGATGGGTTTATCTGTTCCAGGGATTTTACTTCCAATGTTTGGTAAGTAAGGTCCGTAGTTGTCTCTGGACTCAGGGTCCGTGGACATGGAAATGGCAGCAAACTAAGGAGCACAGCCTAGTCAACACCAAAGTTACGCCACAAAGCAAGGGGCTGGGAGTTCACTGACAGTCCGGCCATGGAAATTGTTTTCAACACTCAACACAATGGCTTCATTCTGAGGGATTCCTTTGACCTTATAGCCCCACTTTCTGGCGATTTTGATAGCAGTTTCCACGGCTTCGGCGCCCGTGTTCATCGGGAGAACCATATCATAGCCAAAGTAGTTCGTGACGAATTCTGCAAATCTGGGGAAGACATCATTGTAGAAGGCCCGAGAGCTGAGAGTTAGAGTTGCTGCTTGCTCACACAGAGCCTTGACCAGCTCTGGGTGGCAATGTCCTTGGTTGACGGCAGAGTAGGCGGAGAGGAAATCAAGGTAGTGACGCCCTTCAGGGTCCCAGACCGACACTCCGGATGCACGAGCAAAGACGACAGGGAGCGGATGGTAGTTATGTGCAGCGAACTCGTCTTCGGCAGAGATGGCCGCTTGGGTTGAGGAAGCGTGGTATGCAGACGACATGGTTGGACGGGTAGGGTTGGAACTAAGCAGTGAGAGAGAGGGGGAGCTTCAGGTCTGAATATTGGCTAGGGATGGATCAGAGACAATACAGGGTTGGTGATAGGTGAAGTTCAGGGCTAGGAGAGAGGGGAGGCCAGTCAATCATAGATCGATGGCGGGGTCCGGGGGGGTTTAGCTGGTTTATAGAACTGCAAAAGAGATCAGCAGCTATCCAGTCGTTAGCGAGCTATTTAAGAACTCTACCGAAAGCAAAAAGGACAAATGCAGGATTGCCATCTTCATGTTGAGCCCAAAGCGCAGTATATATACGCAGCATCCAAGCGTGAATCGCTCAGCGGCTCGAAGTCTGGATTCCTTCCGACGGTATCCTTTTCCAGCTAAACCTCTAAGTGCAAGTGGCATCCACCGTCTCTCCACTCGCTACAAGGAACAGAACGTCCGGCTCCGAGCAAAGTCAAAATAACTTTTCGCTGCCCCTCGCAAATCTGGCGGGAGTTGCGAGACGTGTCATTATTGGTCATCTGATTGGAATCCCTCCTGTCCTGTAGGCTTGCCCATCCGGTGAATTTTCCCTTCGCCGGCGGAAGAGCTCTTGGCTCCGGGTATTTGCCACCCCTTTGACATCATTGGCGCACCGCTCCAGGGGGAGACAAGTCAAGTGCGTGCGGGCGGAGATTTGCGACCAACGAGAACTTGCGGAATCAGCGCTCCTCTTCCTTGGGACCTTCGCCGACTTCAAGCGCTTCCTTCGCACGTCCCGCCATGAGCGTGCCTGGGATATGTCGACCTCGTCTGCAGAATTATCGGGCTCGTCCACAGGGACAGACGGAAGGGATCCCGGTCTTGGATCGTCCTTTGAGACGCTGAGACGAAGAGCTCAACGCGTTCATCGCCGCTTTGAACAAAGACCTTCGCGCGATATCCTCCTTTTCCTCGTCGCCTTCAGGATCCTGAATGCCTTGTGTGTCAGGACCTTTTTCCAGCCGGACGAATTCTTCCAGTCATTAGAGCCAGCATGGCAGATAGCATTTGGTAAGGAGAGTGGCGCATGGATTACCTGGGTATACACATCACTTTTAATCAAGACTGCATGGGAGACTAAGGCTGACTGAGCGCGACTTTACACCCTCAGGAATGGAAGCACCACCTCCGATCCTCGATACACCCGTATATTTTCGCGGCCGTGTATTGGGTTGCCGACCAGATAAGTCGTCAGCTACGCCTGTCACCTCTTAGTCGCGCCGATCTCTTAGTCGCTGCCCCGAAATCTGCACAGGGTGTTATTGCTGCTCTGGGAGACTACTATACTTGGAAACTGGCTGGAACGATATACGGGGCGGACAGTTATAATACCCGATGGGCTGTACGTTGTTTGTTCAAGGAATAAATGGCTTGGAAAGCTAATGCGTTTAGCTTTGTTTGAGTGTCCTGAGCCCATGGCAATGGTTTTGCTCGACGCGGACGTTGTCAAACTGTCTCGAGACCACGCTGACAGCTGCTGCATTGTCTCACTGGCCCTGGCAGTGGAATGTAGCAGAATTTTCCAGCCGTCAGGCACTGGGCCAAGCCAGAAGAATCACCCACGACCGGACTAAATTGCGGTACTGCCTACTACTGGCCGCCTTTGCGTGTATCCTGCGGCCAACGAACCTCATAATCTGGTTCTGCCTGGCAATATTCACTATCTGCAACATTAGTTCCCGCGAAGGGCTTCTGTGTGAGAAGCACGTGGCTCTTGTCTGGGAAGCCTTTTGTTGCGGGTATGTTAACTCATGATAGAACGCAGGGCAGAATAATGTCTAATATTATTTTAGGTTCTCTGTCCTTTCGCTATCCCTGCTGGCAGATCGGATATACTATGGGTCTTGGACGCTACCGCCGTTCAAGTTCCTTTATTTCAATATAGCTCAATCCTTAGCAGTATTCTATGGAAGAAATGATTGGCATTATTACTTGTCGCAAGGATATCCACTCCTGCTAACAACAGCGTTGCCATTCACATTGGCTGGGCTATCGAGTGCTCTTGCTGCTCCTTTCAAGCAATCGGGGGGTCTAGGGGCATCCATCCGACGACAGCTCGGCATTGTTTGTATCGCAATGCCCGCGATTCTCTCCCTGATTTCACATAAAGAAGTTCGTTTCATCTACCCGATTCTTCCTTCTCTCCACATTCTTACAGCAGCCCCCTTGTCCAAATTCTTTGAACCAGCAATCTCCTACACTGCTGGGTCATATCAACCCCGCAGGTTACTGCTTAGCTTCCTCATTCTTGTGAACTTGATGGTCGCGTTTTACACCACAGTGTCGCATGCTTCTGGGCCTTCAAAGGTATTCGAGTACATAAGGCACCAGAGCGAACGGGTTTCTGTTGAAGCCAATATCCAGGGATCCCGACCACAGCCTCCTATTTCCTCCCATTTTTCTGCCCCAGTCAGGCCCGCGCAAGGCCTAACTGTAGGTTTTTTGATGCCATGCCATAGCACTCCGTGGAGATCTCACTTTGTTTTCCCGTCGATTGAAGCCTGGGCTTTGTCCTGCGAACCCCCTGTTAACTTCAACGAATCACAACGTGCAGCATATATTGATGAAGCCGATCAGTTCTATGCCGATCCGTCATCATTCTTACGTACAAACATGGTCGGTGGCCTAAGACACTTCCCCCACACTCCAACCTATCAAGCAAAGCAACCAAGCAAATCTCCCGGCGAAGCCGATGCCACTAGGGACCACAAACACAATTGGCCTGACTACCTCGTGTTCTTTGCCCAACTAGAGCCAACGATCAAGTCCTTGCTCAGGGCATCGTCATACGCTGAATGCTATCGCACTTGGAACACAGCCTGGCACGATGACTGGCGAAGGAAAGGGGACATGATCATCTGGTGTCTGGATCCCGCTGTCCAGCGCGAATGGCGCGAAAAGAACAGACGGGTTCACCTTCACGACGACGGCTGGGAGGCTCTCATGAAGAGTAAAGCAAAGCAGTTCGACAAGATCATCGAGCAGCTGGGAAAAGAAAGCACGGGAGTTTGGAGAGGAGGGAAGAAAGGAAGACGTGGCGGCGGTGGATGGATTCCGACGTTTTCGCTGCCTATGAGCTGGAGTCGGAAGTCAAGGAACTCCTTCACCATGACTTTACCCTGGGAGGGGAGCGTGCGTTCGCGTCGATGGTCGTGGCCTTGGGAGAAGAGCCGAAAACCGTCCTGGTCTCAAGTCATGAAGGCGTGGTACGATAAGATTGTCAGTGACAAGTCGGAGCCAGAGTCATCGGATCTGTGGTCTTGATGACCAAGGGAACATTTTGATAACACTTCTCCTTTCATTTTCTTTTCTTTTCCTTTCTTTTCTTTTTTTTTTCCGCTTCTCATTTCAAATGTATGTACATACATATATACCAACATTTTGATGCCCACTTTATTCAACTTGGCGCCCGTGTCTGCGATGCCTCATGTCAAAACAAATGAAATAGGAATTAGGCGGGTCCCGATCCAATGCTACACCATCGTCATCCTGATTAAATATACCTTCGGCGATGCTCATGGGCTGATAGGAAAGAGGGCCCAGAGCTGAACAAAAAGGGAATGCGAAAAAGATAAGTATTAACATTGAAGCCAAAAGGGACAGGGAGGGAAAAAAATACCAGTTAGGGATTCAATTATCAAAACAAAATGGAAACAAAAGGAGAGTTTTAAAGGAGGAAAGGGATTAAAAATGAGTATGGGTATCACATCTTAAGAAAAGAATTGAAGGCGATGGCTTCACGCGGACGAGAAGCCGGAGCGGGAAGGAGATCCGGAGATGATTCCCAAAAAAGAGCCAACTCAACTATTCTCTCCACCACCATGAAGTAAAGCAACCATGAGGCGGCTTATACATTGAAAGGAGGCAAATATCTTCATCAAAATAGTAATTATGAATCAAAAAAAAAAAAGAAAAGAAAAGAAAATATGCCAAAAGGACCGGAAAATACTAACCAATCACCGCCAAGAAGGGAATGGGAAAGTTACAATATGTGAGAAAGAAAAACATAAGCAGAAGGAAAGTCCCAATGTCTTCATTCAATTTGCCCTTCGACCTTGTTCATTCTTTACCCGTATCTAGCACTTAAACTAGCGAACACATCAGGACTATGTCGTCCACTCTGTGCCCGGCCGATGTCCATACTCTCCTGGCTCATATGCGTTCGGATATAAGTTGGGTTCGCAGGCTGAGAATTGGCATCGCTCCCGAGTGGATTGTTTGTTAAACCTGTATTTGCGTTTGACGAGGTGAAAAAAGGGTTTCGACTCCCGGTAGTAGACGGCTGAGGTGGCTGAGGCGAGTTTGCTTGGTTGCTTGAAGGTAAGGGAAAGGGATTTGTTGATTGCTGGGTTTGGGGAACGACAGTATCAGGTTGAGATTGCGGTTGGGGTTGTTCAGGAATAGTTGGAGGAGGTTTGGAAAAGTTATAGAGAGCGAGGATGCTGGACTTATCCATCCGGTTAGGTTGTTGTGGTTGAAAGTATTGCTGTTGTTGCTGGGCGTATGGATTCTGGAAGAATGGCATATTTGTCGAATGTACTGGTGTGATTGGAGCACTTTGGGGAAACGGTGGCGGTTGTTGATGTTGCGGGGGGTTATCAAAGGAAGAGGTGGACATCATTGGCATAGTATTAGCATGCTGGAGCTGAAATACTTCAGATGTACTGCTGGTTTGTGCAGGCTGTCGTAGATCGGGAAGCTGAAGTTGGAAGTTGTTTGGGGGTGCTGCTTGGGAAAAGAATGGATTCGTTGGGGATAGATTCTGTGATTGAGACGGATAAACAGCACCAGCTACACCGTCAACGGCTGAAGAACTTTGGAAAAATGGATTGTAACTGCCGTTTAAGCTACCGGGAGATACAGCAAAGCCGCTCTGAGATGCCATCGTAACCGGAGGCGTCATAGACTGCTGATAGTGCCGGTAGGTAGCTTGACCCTGCTGGCTGGGATACCCCCCAGTCATGTTTGGAAACAAAGGCTGAGACACTTGTAGATTTTGGAAGGACTGCTCGAGCGTTTGTGTTGGAGTTTGTTGCGATGGAGGAACACCGAAGGGATTATAAGAAGCGAGCTTTCTTGCGGCCGCTTCATCAGAACTGCTCGTTGTGCTATGCGATTCTCGACGATTAATCGATATTCCAGCAGAGCTTCGCGATGATGAAGACCCCATTTTATCAAATGGATTGCTCGAGCCGGCTGGGTCATATGAATCGGAAAACTTGGCGCTTGTGGGCGTTTTCAAGACCGGTGTATGGGATCGGGAAGTAGATCCATTTCCTTCCCCCAGTCTCACTAATGCATCGATCGTCTTTTCAACGTCGCCATTTAAACCTTTGAGAATCGTTGCATTCCGCTTATCATCAGGGAACCCCATATTTCGTAACACAGCTAGTTTGGATTCAAGAGAGCCACTTGGATCGTTGAAACTGAATCCCAGCGAACGGGATGGCTTGTTGCTGTGTAGCGTCGAATTTTGAGAGATGGAGCCGAAAGATTCACGGCGGGGAGACGACTTATTGGATCCAGAGTGTGAGGAGGACGATCGGAAGCCAAACCCAAACCTTTTGCTTGGCTTCGGAGGCAGCGGTGGAGGAGAGTCTTCGACGTGCTTCGTAACATAGCTCGGATCCTCCCGGCTGGGGATCTTGGGCTTTCCGTCCTCGAGGACCTTGGATTCGTATTTCTTGCGAATGAAACGCTCCATTGCCGGATCAACCTCGTCGGCATCTATCGGTATCGGCGGCTTGATATGTTTTGGATTGTACACCTTGTTCACTACCGCGTTGCCATTTCTTTTCATATTCTTTAACGTGGTATCAGCAATTTATCTCGACAAGACCAGCGAGAAATCAACTCACATCCACTTGATCTTGAGACCAGGTATCCATGCTTAATGATTTCACTTTGGAAATATGGGTTCCGAGCTTGCGATGAAGGCCTGCACAGCGCATACATAGGAAGATCCCAAGCTGTTGTTACCTCGAAGACGACACGTTAGCAATTGCTCGCCACGGATGATCTATTTCGAAAGACTTTGGACTTTGTAGCGTTCGGGTTGGTTCTGGGAGGACAGGGAGGTAAGACGAGTAGAGAGCGTTATGTACTCACGTTCCAGCTTGCCCATGCTAGCGTCAATCATCGGCCGAATGTTAGCTCAAGTCCATTGTTTGGTGACTGTTGTGATGTATGGTCGCGGAAGGAAAGCGTACCAGGATTACGCGCCTCACAGTCTGCGCAGCGGTCATTTCCGGGGACACTTCTTATGAGTTCCTGTAGGGTTCTCTCATGACGAGCCTGCTGGCGCTTGCTCAATGCTGAAGACATTTTCAGTCCAGCAAGGCGGAGATGGGGGGGGGATGTTGGCGTGATGGTCTTCGGTGCGAGGAAGTCAGTCTCCTGAACAGGCTAATTATTTAGGTTTTTGGGAAAGGGACAGGCGCAAGGTTCAAAGAAAGTTCACAGCTGTTCAGATACTGGGTTGATTGGATAAACAGCTGCATTTCACAGTCCTGCACCCATCTTAGCTGATTTCGCAACCATCTGTGATTTTCGTCGGATGTTGAGTGGTGTTAGGAGGTGAAGTTGACCAATTGCTGACATTCGCCAGACTACGCCACTCTTGGAGAGTCCAGGCGCTGTCAGTCTGAGCTTGGCGCAACTAGGCGGGCATCAAAAAAGCACCTGTTTGCCATCTGGAACTTTGGAATTAATTTGAGCATGGTGACGGAGATTATTATATTGTCTTCTATGGCTGAGTTGACATATATATGTTATTGTTCCATGGTCCTGTACCAGACCTCACTCTGCTGTTCCTGGCCGGAAAACTAAGCTCTGTGGCATTGAACCATGGTTACTCCAGGTTGATGGGCCGCCTCACAAGGGTTTGGTGCTCTTACAAGTGCAACAGAACACTGAGCTTCTACACCCAGACATATACCGGATTAAGCATGCAAAGGCCACTTCCGCATTAACTAGAGAATGTGGGTCAATGATAATCAAAGCCCTTTTTGGCCATCAACCCGGTCTCAGCGACGGCTTAGGTCCACCCAAGCCCGACCAATCTCGATATGAACTAGTAATTTTGACACTTGATTAACAGACTATACTTCACTCTACATTCATGACCAAACAACAGTAATCGAAAGCCATAGTACTCGCGTGGTGTGTTTGACTGAACCCCGCCGGGTTTCAAATCCTAATATCTCTATCTTGATGAAAGTTGCTCAGTTATCCGGATGTAGAAAAGGCACCCTCTCTCAGACGATCTGACAATTTCCAACGGCCCGTTACCACTGTACTGGAAATAAGCAATCCCTAGGCCCAAGGGCTTGGACTTGGGCCCGGAGTACATACCGCAACATCTTGCAGATGGCAGCCACGGAGATCCGTCCCAGTTTCGTGTTGTTGAAGGCGAGAGTCTGCCGCTTGCACATGCAAAAAACCTTTTTGGGGTAGGTTCTCTTCTCGGCACCGATATGGAACTCGATATTGACACCCCGATCGCCGTCAGTGGCCCCAGTTCCCTGCACATTTGTATGCCGAATGAGATGATCTGGTTGATTCATTCTCTTGAGATACAGAGTACGGAGTAGGTAAGATCGGTATCGATCTTACCCATTCTTGGCTTGGCCGCGTATTTTGTATTACACCCTCGCATGTATTAATCACTCCATTGCCGTAGCTTGGATGACTGCCAACGAACAGGCGGGACGGTGAGATTCTTGATTCTCTGGACACTACTCCATATTGATGCTTGCTTTTAGTGACTACTTGATGCCCAGAGACGCACAGAGGATCAAAATGGTGAACCATTTACATGTCCCTTTCAAATAAGGGAAAATGGAAGTTGACCCAACCGGCTCGTAGGTTCGCCTATACACATAGCCCAGAACAATGTCAAGGGAACTTCTGTTATATGATAGTTACTCTGCTGTCGCTGCATGCGTACCAACTCATGAGGTATGTTCCCATGTCATATGGTCATTATCTGTCAGCTAACTTTCTCAAACAGGAGAGCTACCAATTAAGTCCAATAACTACAGCCTTGGGCCTTTCTTTTTTCCCTCAATGGGTTTATTCTGTGGTCGGCTGTCCAGTTATACATAAGTTGGCGTTGTGGTTAATGCTCCAACGACTCACAAAAGCACTTGCATCAGTGACTCTGACTGGCCATGGCCATGCTCTGGCTCAGGAAATGATTGTTTTCGGCTCTCATCGGTCCCTTGGACACAGTCACCCCATTAGGCTCTCTTATCCGTTGGCCGCTCTTATCCAGTTGTCCTTTGAGACGGTGGGCATATTCCCCGCTCATAAAGCGCTGGCTAAGCGGAAGATACTGGCTGTATACATATATATAAATAAAAAAAGAAACTGGCCTACTCTTTTCGAGAACTGATATTGATTACTGACTTTTGACGCAATATCTTCGTGCGACTTTCTAGTATGGGTGTACTCTATTTCTTTCCCTTCTCCGAGGGCTTTTTTGACGACAATTTGACTTGCCATGTTGCAACCAGACAAGGCTAACATGCTACTCCCCTATTAACAGCCTATCTACATGCGAATTCCTAGTCGACTATTATGCCCTCCCGGCATCCTTCTCTTTCAAATTTCTCCAGGCTTGCATATCAATATGATGCCTCTCGATCATCCAGATTGCTCGCTCTCAAGTCATCACCACGCTGCTTATCTGAATCTCCTTTTTGTTGAAAAGCTAACCACATTCTTCTACAACCTTAAGCTGCCGTGTGATTAAGTATGCATCTCAGCAACCTTGCCATCGCCACCCTCTTTATGACAGGGGCATTTTCGGAGTGTCGATCCCCTTGGGGAAAGAGTTGTGAATATGTTAGCATTTCGTTATGGTATAGTTAGACCAAACGCCGAGCTTCTCAAAAAGGATACAAATGGCTGGTATCTGGTGGGGGGGTTACAAAAGACGAGGGTATCAGCGATTATTGCTATGACGATCATCTGAACTTTTGCGATTACTGCTCCCACTATGGCGATCAGTGCTTCATTGGCTGCAAGAGGCTATGGTGTTGCAACTAAGAAGGGATGATCGTAAGTACTATACCTTTTAAACCCCTCTTGCTCCTATTATTATATCGCTTTCAAACTGCAAATTATGCCTTACTGATAATACCAAACCTATTGGCCAAATGAGCTTCCGTCGTCGGCGTTCTTAACCCAGAAACTCGACTTACAGCGAGGCTCGCAAAGGGATGCTAGGCTAAATATTCAGCGAAAGGTTAAAATATCCTAAGCTGATGCTGGGAATGTTATAATGTCGATTGTTCAATGGCTCTTCGCACGTATATCTGAAGATACTTTTGGAGGAAGAAAATACTGCCTCTTTACAAACATGAGCTATATGAGACCAAAGCCGTTAAGCTCGAGAGATACGAAGCCGTCAGATATTGGGACGTTGGGGCATGAAGCTTACGACAAACATGTCTTTTCACTGTTAAGTTCGAGGTTCCAGTCGCGGTAGACATTCTAGCGTGCCCTCACTCTCCGTGACATATTCATATGAATGGTGCAATGGAACTGAGAATGTTCCCAATGGAACTAGCCTCCATAAAAATCCGGTAATAAGTTCATGCTCCCTCGATGCCACCGCACAGATATCGCAAGCCACACAAAAGAGCCCAACTATAATCTTCATGAACACTCATTGTGCTTTAATGAAGGGAGCCTTTGCTAAGGCCCTCGCCTGAGTGTTCCAAATGTCCCTTGCCAGCCTCACCAGCTCCAATCCAAACTTCTCAAGCACCGTCTCGACTCCCGTCTCACTCTCATCCACCGCATTACCGTATTGCTCGTCTGTTCCGAATGTCGCAAGCCTCCATAGCGTCTTCCATTTCCTGATCGCGAGAATAGCCTCGTCGTGCTGGCTCTGAATATTGGTGGCAACCATGTAGAAGGAGGACCGCTTAGCGTGGAATTTCTGTGGCTTAAAGACCTGCACGGAAGAGAACTTGCTGAACGTATACAGAAGGGAAACGGTGTCCCATGCCTCAATCTTATGGAGGAGGGCAACTATAGTTCCGCCGTGTCTGACATGCTCAACGCCCAGTGCCAGCTGAGTGAGGGTCAGCCTGCGAGCTTCACGCGCTTCCCGATAGGCTGCTCGATCATGCGTTCGAAGCACCTGGCCGTCACATATGACGAGATCGAAGACTTCTCTTGGGTCGAGCTGCCGCGGCAGAAAATTCGGAGCATCAGGGTGCTCCTTTGGGATATCTGTCACGCCCATATCTGCGGCAAACATTGTTATATCCTGGTATTTCACTCTAAAATTTAGATTTCTTGGGAGTAAAATCTTGTGTCCTCCCTTGCAAAGAGGCAAGGTAAAACCTAGAGCGCGAGATCCAGAATTCACACTGAGTGCCTCCGCGAGAAAACCACCCGGGGCCATGCACATGTCGAGAATGCGTCCTCTCCAGATATCCCCTGAGATCCGAAATGCATCAGTGGAAAGATGAAGCTCCCTTCCAATTTTCTTCATCATGTCGTAGAAGTGCAAAACAGTTTGGCCGTCGGCATTATCAGCTGTTTGGCGTTGTTTTTGGAAGAACTGATCACCCGCAGGATTGCTCCATCCCTGCTCCAGAACGGATCAGTGTTCTTACCACTCGAGACTGCTGTTCTGATGTATTACTAACCTTTTGCCGGAGATCAGTCAGCTCCCGAAATTCTGGGGCGGTTTGCAGGAGATACTCGATGACAATGCCACCGGCGCGACTGGTGCGTTTCGATCCTTGATCGTTCGGACATGGCGCCTTGTTTGCAAGGGCCTGAATACTACTTTGGTCCGATGCACTGCCGTCGAGGCTCATTGCTTTCTTAGCTTGTGCCATGATAGATGTCTCCATGGGGAACAAACAAAAGTTTTCAACTTTTTACGTTTCCAGAAAGCAGCTTTTTGGTTTCTGGAAAACCAGCTTAGGAACGCAATGAGCTTGAAAGCTGAAAAGCATTATATGGTCAACCCCGCAAAGTCCACGGTAGGCAACCATGCACGTCCCAGAGTCCGACTGTCTGGTATGGTGGCCTATCGACCAGTCAAGTTCTTGGAGGCTTGTTCCGGATGACTCCTACTCGGCCACGTCGATCTACAGAAAACCACCTGCTGAGGTCACCATTCGCGCACTGAAGCCATTTTGGAGATGAAAAAGAGGGGGGCATTGAGTAATGGAACGGATCAGATATTGGATGCAATCTGATGGAGTTCTGAGTGGGAAGCCCGGGATAGTGGCCGAACCTCCATATACCTTTAATTCAGTCATCGAGGGGCTGGTCGGAGCTGTGTGGTTTGATTTTCGGAATCACTGGTTCACAGGCCTCTGCAATTACTACCTCGATATTAGTCGCTCTACATTCTTATGGATTACAGCTTTTGCAAAAAATTATATACATCTTCAAGTAGTGCTAGTAGTTGCCGGCTATCCTTCTCTCACTGGTTCAATAGAGGCATATTCAAAAAGCTGTTCCCTTCCTACCCTGACAAGGTGAGGAGAATGGCGTGATTTTTAGAGTCCAGGGATTTCCGTGAGACTACAGAGTATGAGGTCAACCGTAAATTGCGAAGCCGGCAGTCATCCTATCTCTTCACTCTCACTCCCCGCTTTCTTAGTCCCTAGTTGCTAATGTACTTGAGCAGGTAGATTGCCCGACTCATTCAATTTGTTCAGAACTTGAAGAGACTCTGGCACTTCTATCATTTATCTTGAGCCAGACTCGCTATCGACTTTTGGCTCTGCCATTTTCACCAGGGACAAGGATCATGCGACCCTATATACGAATTGTATGCGTGACGCCAGAGTATCACTGGAAGGGCCTGGTCTTCGCACGCCAGCTCGCTGTTGTTATTCTTTGCTTTGGCAGACAGAACCCCTTTAGTTGTGAAAGCGGCAACGTGATCGAAGGGTGGGTGGTTCTCCTCGATATGTCCTGGTTTAAGCAGAGATGATGGCGCAAGGCTGCTCACGGATGATCCACCGCCCAATGGGCAACTGTATTCCATACTGTGGATGAAGAGGGTCTCAGAGCCGAAAGAAGATCTGGCAGAAGATGAGTGGTCTTCTGTCAGTAATAGGGGATTCCCTTGACATTTACTTCATAGCACATAGCACTAACTCCGCCAGGTTGAAGTGGAAGAGATGGTTCAGGACAAGAAGCCCAAGTCACGCGTTGGGGCGCTATGCCTGACCTGGACGCGCCAGGCTGGAACGGGCGCCGCTGGTCCCCTGCCCTCAACAGGGCCCCGCTTTTCTTTGTTCACAAGTTTTCGATATACAGAGGATGGAGGGCTCCAGGGTGAGGACAGTGTAAAATGTGGTAATCTCACATAAGTGTGAATATTGTCATGTGAGTTCATGGGTTGATTTGCAGCAAGTTTGATAAGAAAAGATCATTGTGTACAGTCAAGTAACAAGGGTGTAGCAAGGTTACGGTGTTTCATCCCAAGGTTGCTAGCATTGTGCCCAGCTCGAAGAAAAAGCCGTTTGGATACTTGGGAGGAAATAATAGTCCATGGAGCCTGATGCACCAACCAATTTTTGTCGTCATTGAGACAAGCTGAGCCCAAGTGACACACAAATAATACAGTTCGCTTAGACTTGCTCCCGTCTTTTCATATTTTTTAACCCAACATCCTGGAAGAAGCTTCTTTTGAAATTCTTCTCTCTTAAAGAAATTTTTCTCTCTTCCATCTTCCCTGAGATCCCTTATTATAAATATTGCCCTGGGAGTGAAGAAATCATCCTGCAGCTCTTAACTGTACCAGTTGGGATTTGACTGTCGCAAAGGGCAACACGCCACTATATGGCAACCATGCCAAAACCCTCTCTTAAAAAAACTCCAGCTCGTCAACAGAAGCTTGACAAGCTCGTGGCCTCACGTCCAAAATTGTCGCACAGAAACTGAGATATCAAGGCTGTTGGCATTGAATGATGTACTTGACAGCGAATTTGCGGAGTATCTCACAGTACTGTGGCTTTGGCTGACATTCTCTCCAAAGATGCCAATTGTAAATAGCTCGTCCTGCTGCCACAGCCCAAGCATGAAGAGGGCGGTCTCCGGGCTTGCGTGTACTCTGTATGGAGTATGGTTCGAACCTGGCCCCTGAACTGCCCCCGAGCTTGCAGGCGCTACTGATGAAATTTCTTTTTTCTTTTATTTTCCCTCTTCCAAGTCTGCTGTGTTAGAAGCTAGCTAACTGCCACTAGCATGAGTGAGTCTCTGCTCAAATCACTAACCCAAGATACCTTCACCAGGGTCTTGCTGTGTGCTCTCTGGGAGAAGCGCCCCTCCTGGAGCTGGAGCTTCCGTCCGGCGGCCGGGATCAGGGCTTGGTACCAGGCTCGTACGGCGTATCGTATCAATCTATCCATCCCACCTTTGCTCGCACAAGCCGCGTTTTGCCCAAAGGGGAATGGCGCGTCCCGCCACTACTCACTGTGCCATCACCCGAACAGGAAAGGCGCCAAAACTCTCAAATCGCCCTTTTCCGCTTTTGTCCCATCCAGTCTTTTCGACTTGCTTTTCCCTCAATCCAGCTGGTCCTCCTCTCTTCTCTCTCTCTCTCTCCCTCCCTCCCTCTCTTCCACCATCCCTCCCATCATCATCTTCCTTCGCCATCTATCTTGTATCCTTTTCGCTTCTTTTCTCATTATACCGTCCAGTCATTGGAATGGTCTATGGCAAACCTTTTACTCTCGCCAGTTTTCCCTTCGACTCTCCCTCTTATCCGTCTACGTTTCCTACCATCCGTCGACCCACAGATTTTCTCACACCACTACGACCTTTTTTCTTCACCTTCTCTTCATCGCATTTGATTCCGTCGACCGTCCCCATTCGAGTTGCTTCAACTTTTTCATCGACTCTTGCCCTCGATACCGTGTCGTGAGATCCGAAACGTTCATGCAGGAGCCCGTTCTCGTTGTCATCCTCAACGGGTCGCCTCTCTTGCCTCCGTTCCTGTCATCCGTTTCCCTCTACCCTACACGAGTCGCATAAGACACGCCTCATCCTGAAAACTAAATCACGGTCGCAGCAGCGTTTCTCTGTCGGATTTCTGCTTGATCCACGCCTTTTCGCACGATTATTGTGGTCGGAAGGCTAGACGTGGCTGGTATGCGCCGATATCATCAGGTCGATTCGTGGTTACCACATTCGGACGTCCACTTCCTACCACCACCGACCGTCAATTAAAGGTCCGTACATCAACGTGAACCGCGCTTGCTGTCCACCAGACCGACCTCTCTCCCATATTCTCATCCGCCATCTCACTCGCGAATAGCTGTGCAAAAAGGCTAGCGTCCCCGCTATTCATCAAAGGGGGATCCACTGTCAGATTATGACAGAGACCTCCTTCGCAAACACGCATTCCACGGCGCATCTCTTTCCGGTCACTGCTCCTACGCTCTCTCCTCCCCTCGTCAACGGCAGCCACTCAGGTCAGCAAGACGACGAAGAACCCTACACCATCAAGTGCATCTGTATATTTGATGATGATGACGGCAGCACCGTATTTTGCGAACGCTGTGAAACGTGGCAACACATCGTATGTTACTACGATGACCAAGAAGTGCCAGAGATTCACAACTGTACAGACTGCGAGCCCAGGGTCCTTGACTCGAAACGTGCCACTGAACGTCAGAAGAGGCTAAGAGAGCAAAATGACAGCGGTGACCGGAAAGGTAAAAGGTCAGGTGCGAAATACCAAAAGAAGAAGACCAAAGACGCAGCATCGGCGACGGACACCACAAATGGCTGGAATCCTCACGACAAGAGTGGCTCAAATTCTGTCTCCAAAGACCAACAACCCCCAACAAAAAAGCAACGCACATCCCATCGTTCTTCCGCTTCCGTAAGCTCCGTAGCCGCAGCCCTAACCAGCGACTCGAGGAAAAGAGGAGCTTCGTCCATCGTCTTACCAAGCCCTACCAAACCTCCATCTCATCCTCCAATCCCTCTATATTCGCAGGAATTCCTACACCTGTACGATAATGACCACGTCAACACAAATATGCATGGCAATCTCTTTGACACACTTGGCCTGGCGGGTGATTTAGCTTCATGGGTTCAAGATCCTTCAGCACTTGCTCTCGTCGCCAACGGTCGCAGTGCAAAAGATGTGTTCACGTATTCTGACCAGCCGTTGGATCATTCTAAATGGCCTGTTCTATCGAAGCAGTCAGTGACGGATACGAGTATTGACTACGACGGAAGACACCCTACGTGGCGCTTCTTAAAGGTTGACAAGGATGTGCGCAAGGACGAGATCGTTGGTGAAGTTCGAGGCAAGGTGGGACATTTTCGTGATTACTGCCTTGATCCCAATAGTCGATGGCAGGAGCTACGGCACCCTGAACCATTTGTTTTCTTCCACCCACAGCTTCCTATCTATATCGACAGCCGAAAAGAAGGCACCCTGCTTCGATACATTCGCCGATCATGCCGACCGAACGTGACACTCAAGACTTTCATCACAAATGAGATCGAGTACCATTTTTGCTTTGTCGCAAATCAAGATATTTCTGGTGACTCCGAGATCACGACCACCTGGTACCTAGATCCTCAACTGTTTCCGGCTAGCAATGGGTTCGTGAAGCAAGAGGGCCCGAACGATGGTATCCCCGATGCCGCGGCAATCTCGATCAGCAATGTTCTCGCACATTTTGGTGGCTGTGCTTGTGATCCTTCGCAGCCCTGCTTGCTGGCCAACGTTGATCGACGACAGCGGCCCCGAAACTCTGACTCAAACGTTAAACAACTGAATGGGAGACGAAAGAAGAGTAAAAATAGAAACAATGTATCTCCGGTCAGTACAGGTCGAGCAACCAACAGTCGGGCTGGGAGTGAAAGTCGTAAACATCGTGATGACGAAGATCAGTCTGAGAATCGATCGGTGTCCGGATCTGTTCGGGATCATCCGCAAAGTAGGGATTTAACGCCCACCGGTCATAGTGCAGCAGACATATTGGGAACGAATGGAACGGAGCTTTCGGCGCGTGAGAAGCGTAAAATTGCTGCGGCAGAGAGGAAGTTTGAGCAACTTGAACAAGACCAACAACATGCTCAGAAAAAGAGGAAGCGTACCAATGTGGGCACTAGTACATCCGTAAGTTTCCAGGAAAAATTTTCCCACCTAAATTTTACAGATGATCTGAGTCTAACCGCTCACCTTTATGTGTAGAAATCGTCCGGATCCTCGAAACCACCACGCTTGGACACTATGCCTACGCGTCGATCCCCTAGCACTTCCGCTAAAGCGTCTCCCGGTTCTGCAAATTCGCGTCGAGAGTCACGTTTAACTCCAAAGACTTCTGCTGCCAGCACTCCCCGAATTGGGTCTCCTTTGGCTCGTGCCAACTACGTTGATTGTAGTATCCAGACCGACTCAGACGAGACTGACCCACTCTATGTCCCTCCAAAATCGCCCCCTCGACCTTGTTTCGTCCCGCTTACAAAACGCCTTCTTTCACGTTACCACCATGATCGATTAAAGCTTGACGAATCCAAAGGCCTGAATCATGCGCCAGTCAAGCAGGCAATAAGTAGCATGCCTCCACCGCCAACACCTAAGCTACCTTTATCTCCCCAAAGCGAAAAAGACATCGAAATGAAAGACGTAGACACTAGCATTACCCTCCAAAGACTTGCTCGTCCAGCTTCACGATCTTCAGATCATGCGCCTATCGAATCTCCCGAGCTACCTTTCAAGCCGCCGCGTCTTCCACTACCGTCCACCGCAGCGCATAACTTCCCAGTTCGATCCCCCTCTGGTGATGAGCCAGGCAAACTTCGCGTTCAGCCACCTCAAGCACAGCCCTCGAGTCCAGTATCCTTTTCAAACAACCCGTCTAGCGGCCCCCATCCTACTTACCTGCCACCACCCTTGAGCACCAAGCTGCAAGGTCCTCCGAGCTCTTTAACACCAGGCTTGGGTATTACTGCACCAAGTCCTGTTAAAAAGAGGATGAGCTTGGGTGATTATATGAGGAGCCGGGGAAATCTGACGACTCCTAGTGCAGAGAAGTCTCATACACTGATTCTGTCGGGTGGTCAACCGCCAACGCCTTCGGCTGCTCCAGGCAACTCGACGGAATCTGGGCACACACCAACCAAGCCAACTCGAACAGCTGATGAACCCATCAAGCGTGAAAGCGATACTACATCCGATGTGGTTATGAAGGATGCCTCCTCTTTACCTCCGCACGCTGACAAGTCCTCCAACCCGGCTTTATTATCACGAGATCCACGGATAAATCCGTCAACTTAGCCTGTGCAGGATTGGAAGTCTCAACGAATTTTTTGAGATGTTGTAGTGTTTTTACTTCGTGTCCGATTTATTGTTTCTCCCCTTTAATGGTGCGATCTGTTCGATTATTGTTTTTGCGTCGGGGTTTCGGTGAAATGCAGGCTTTTCAACGGTTGGCGTTCTCCGCAGAAAGTCTAGCATGAAAGACTTGTCAATTTAGCCATGGGATAGGTTTGGGACAAAGTGGCGTTTTGTGGAATTGGAAGGGGCCTTTCTTCATTTTTATTTTTATTTTTTTTTGGGTTGATCTCGTTTTGGGATGGGAAAATGGACTGCCAGAGCGTACGAGTGTCTGAGATTCTTTTATTTGACTGGGAGGTTATTTGTGGTTATCTGTCGGCGTCTCTTGCTCTTGCACTACCACTTCTGGCCCTTTGTCCTGTTACGAGATATTGACTTGATACTTCGCTGTAAACAGTACGATTTCTGCTTTGAACAGAATACGGTGATATGTATGTATTAATGACGAAGACGTAGGTCTGAGAGGCCTGGTTTTATGATATCTAGAACGCTATTGCTCCAATACACAAATATATTCATGGAAGAATGCTGCCCCCTCTCCGTCCTGCGCGCTGGCGGCTCCGCGCTATAGGAATCACGTGACTTGATCAGAGCTCACAGCCGGAACGCCATGCTATCTCAAGAGCTTCATGCCTCAGCGATTCGGCATTCCTCGCACGCAAGGGAATTTCGGCTTCGATTACGTTTGTATATCTGGTTACAGGATTCAGAGCCCAGCTTACACCCATTGCCGGCACCACCCGTGCCGCCATGGCGACCACTGACCCCAGCCTCTCGGACCCTCTCCTCTCACTTCGCCGCGTCCTTGCATCCGGAAGCCCTCCCATACTCACAACCTCTCCAGACCTCTCCACCGAACATGCGACGGAAGATCTAACCAAGGCGACCCATCTCTACGTCACACAGCCCATTCCGCAGACAATCTCCCTCTCCACGCCAACCCGTTTCGTCTCCGCGGCAGCGAAACAACCGATCGATCTACGAAGCATCTATTTTGCGTGGCAGAAGAAAGATGTTGCGATCCCGGAGTACATCTCCTCCGCTCAGGAGCTCAATGAGGCGCTGAGCAGGAGGCAGGAGAACGGTGAGGGAGAGGCGACGAAGATCTTGAATTTGGTGTTTGTTGAACGGTTGGATCTGATCACTTGGCTTGAGGGTGCGTCGGAGGAGAGCGAGTATATTAAGCCTTTGGAAGGGGTGGGTGCTCCTGGTGCTGCGGATGCATCTGCTGCGGCGGCGGGTGCAGCGTCTGGTGCGGTGGGAGGAGTGCCTGCTGTTTCGAGTGCCGGGGGCAAAGCGGCTGGGGCACCGGCGATTACGCATGTTGGTGGGAGGCCGGTTAAGGTTATCGATGCGAGACTGCAGCAGATTTATAATGGGGAGAGAAAGTTGGGAGATCGAAATACAGTCTTGAGAGGGATTCGGCCGACGGTGAGAATGTTTCCGGCGTGGTCATGTTGCTTTGGACGGGTGGGCTGATATTCCTCATTTTTTTTTTTTTTTTGATTTTAGGACTTCTCTCACGTTCGCAAAATTGCCGAACGTTTTCTTGGCCGGAGCCGTTCAGGCGCAGCTCCGTATCCAAGTGGTGGTGCAAAACCAGGTGTCAAGCCATCCGCTCCAGGACCAGGCCGTGGCCTCGTTCCCAAGAAATCCTCCGATTCTAGCTCATCGCGTCGTCCCAATCCAATTATCCTAGTCTCACCGTCCGCATCTTCTCTCCTCCGGATGTCAAATATCAAGACCTTCCTTGAAGATGGCACCTATATACCACCAGACCACCCATCCCTCTCCAAATCCACCGGTGCCAACCGTCTCAAAATCTCGCGTGTTCTTCATTCTCTCCACGACTCTTCCAGCGCCACAGCCGCCAAGCCAAATACTTCCCGCAGCGGAACGGTCTTCATCCTCGTTGACAGCACTGCTGATTTCAAGCCTGAATACTGGAATAATGTCGTCGCTGTTTTCACTACCGGCCAAACATGGCAGTTTAAGTCGTACAAGTGGTCGTCACCACCGGATCTTTTCAAGCATGTGACGGGTATATTTGTGGGCTGGAGAGGAGAGGAGGTTCCCAGGGAGGTCAAGGGATGGGGACGTGGTGTGCGTACGTTCGCAGTTGAGCGCTGGGATGAAAAGAGTGCGAATGTAAATGGACCTGCGATTGGTGGGCGGACAAGATGGAGAGATAGAGAGGTTGTCGAGGGTATATGGGGTGCCATTGAGGAAGGAATGAAAGCTAGAGGCTGGGGCTCGAAGTGACCTACCAAGCCGGAGACTATTGATACAATATTTCTTTTTACTTATTCCATCCCGGTGGTTATGCTTGATTGCGTGTGTGTATTGCCTGGAGTGATTAGGCGTTGATCTTTGAAATCTTGGGAAAATGTTGTCCTTCAGACTTACATTGTATGCCTTCTGAAATGTGTGATTTGGGATTATTTTATTTGATAACAGCGCTAAGCTTGTTTAAAAATTTCATAATTGAAAAGCCATACCAAGTTCTCCACAAATCCTCCATTGTTATGCATCGCTTCGCTAATCTCCTTTGCTATTGACTCTATATATCCTCGGACATGTAATGGGAAAGCTCAGTGCTTGACCTTGTCTGCGACAAACAGGTCTTACCATAATATCAAGATAGCCGTTGAGAGGCTCCCTGCTATAGAAGTGACAAATAAGTCTAACTCCGCATCCTGAAAAGGCCCATATGAAAGGATTTCCCCAACCATCAAACTGCCAACAGAAGGGAGGTCCCCTTTGTGACCAAACAAGGCAGTACTCCATAAAAGCTTCCGATCTCTATTTTCAAGAGAAAGAGGGATGAGTAGCGTACACCAGCATGCAGTCCAGAAGCGACATATCGAGTGGTTGGACGTCTCGCGCCTCGTCCATCGGATTGCAAATACTATCCAGGATCAGGGAAAAAAGAAAAAAGTGATAGCTGCAGACAGAAGTTCACCTCCATGACTGCCAGGGATGGCAGAGTTTGTGAGTTGAATGGATCAATATTAATATATGCAATATATGAAAACAGGGGGAGAAAAGGACTGACGGAGAATAATAAACACATAGATGGATAGTATTGATTATATCTGCTATAGTGAAAAGCGAAAGAAAATGTTCAAACGCCATCCAAATGCTCTAATCATTCTGACTCTGCCAGTATTAGGAATTAGCAGAATGAGAAAAGAACAGGTCGGAAAATTATGTGGCATAAGAGACAGACAGAAAAGAGAAGTGAGATAGAAGAGAAATCGTCAACATGTCATGCGTCTATTAAAAGAGAAAAGCAAACCACGAAAGTACACCATGGAAAGGCCGCTGGAGGAGGCTAGAAATTGTGGACTGGGCTATGCGAAGCAGCAGATAAGTTCAAAATAGAGCTGTAAAACAGAAAAAGTATCTTCGGAAATGAGGGGAAAACGACAAAGAAAAGGCCTTTTTTCGCACGAGCTGTTGCTTGCTGGCTGACGTTTTCGAACTGACCCGCCCATCGCTTCCATCCGAACCCAAACAAAAAAAAAAAAAAAAAAAAAAGGAAAAGGAGAATAGTCTAAAGAAAAATAAATCAAATATGCCAGATACATGCTTTATTCCACGGCCGTCAACTCGAGAAGAAATGAAAAAGAGAGGAAAAAAGAAAAGAAAAAGTGCCAAAATGGAAAACAGGCAAGAGATTAAAATTATTTAAGAGGTCTGAAAAATGCCTAACGACCTCGGATACCGAATGAAGCCCATGACAAAAATCACGAAATGGGATGATCAAAAGTAGATTTCTCAGAGACAGAGATAGGAGCGTAACCTAGTGGTACCCGTGTTCCTTCCAGGAGAGCTGATTCTTCATGTCCGTAAATGCATCCGTCCGATTTCAAGGGCCGCAATAATGGAGTCACAAAAGTGGCTGTCGGCAGCGGTGGTGAGTCGCAAGGCCAACAGATATAGTCAAGTGTGGTCCCTTTGGCCTGGATAGGGGAAAACGTAGAGATTCGGTGTCAAAGACAAACAAAACACGTCCAATCGTTGTAGCGCATAGATCTTTCGTCATATACTCATTTACTGAATTCCAATTAAGTCTATAGGTTGGTATGTCGTTCTCTCATCCAATTGACGAAGGAGATGCTTTTGTAAGCTTTTATACGAAGCGCTCCGTCGGCCAAAATCAGATAAAATGAAATGCAAAGCGATATGGAATGGCAAAACGACTCGACGTGGTCAATGTCATGACCTCGCAGATCGGCTCATCGAACGCTCAGGGACGGGGGCTGGAGTAGGGGAATACGATCGACCAGAGCTGTTCACATCAAAGTCGTGCTCCTGCAAGATGTTTGCGTATCGTGGGTCACGGACAAATTTCGGAACAGAATCCTATATTCCAGGTTGTTAAAATCCAACGAATCAAGAGACAAACGCCGAAAGGCAGGACCTACACTCGACATCAATTTGAAGACGGAGACTTGAGCAAGTTCAAACAAGCTCACAACCTCCGTCAAACTCTCAATCATCGCTTCGTCATCTCCAACGGCTCTGGTCATACGGCTAGCGAGGCTATTTCGGAGAGCGTGCTCAATGTTGAGTTCACAAGGAGAGCCGGGTGCAAGGAAGGCATTGTATAATCCTAGATAAAAAATCAGAAACTGTTCTTCATTCGACGCAAAGCACTACGAAAGAAAAACTCACCGTAGGCACTAGCCAAGGTTTCCCGGACGGCATCCATCCTAGAGAATGTTCCAGCTCTCTCTGCACGATGATAATCGGCTGTGAAGGTCGAGACATCAAGGTAAAAAGCCAGGTTCTCCTCGCAAAGAGAATCTCGAAGGAATTCACGAAATAACAGCCTCAGAGCTGCATCTTGTAGAATGTGATTCAGACGGGCATTATTTGAATCACGAGGCACAACGCGACCGTCAATGGAGGTAGGAGTGACTTTGTCTCGTGCGATCCAGCCACAGACCCGTTGGCCATGCTCTGTTATGCCATAGATGGCATGCTTCGTGGGTTGGAAGGATGTTGCCCCAGGATGCTGTAGCATATAACCCTTATCTTCTGCGATGGCATAAATCAAATTATATTTCACAAACATCACTGCAATTTCGTAAGTTTCACGATTATCACTCGCAGTGCAGCAATCTAATATCCAATCCACTGCAGCCTTGCCGGTGAAACTGTTTTGAATGACCTTGTCTCCGACCTTGCGCTCTTTCGCCATTTTGACTCCCGTGGTGCCGTTTGCGTAGTCACTCACAGAATCGGAATCCGAACTGGATACGGTATTCTTGAGATTTGGCCCATCAACTCCAGCAAAGCGACGAAAGATAACCTCGATTGTCGCCCGGTCTCTTGATAGTTGGTCCGTTTGACTATCGCGTTCCAAGATGACCAACTGCATAGTATTGCGGGGGGATTCAAGGACATCCATGACATGGCGAGCAGTGATGCCATTTCTTTGGCAAAAGCGGTGGAGAATGTGGATACCTTTTGGCGTCAGCTGGAATAGAGCGCCCTTGAGAGGAAACTGAGCGGTTACGCGACCGTCGACAGGCTCGATGAAGCGAGCATCCACGAACCGCTGACACACGGAGCGAGCCATCTCCCTGGCCATGGAAAAGGTGGTAGTGGTCGTTGTCGTGACGATGCGGGAGGGGTCCTTGGGGTCAGGCATGCGGTTAGACTGAGAGAATTTCAGCGAACCCAGGTTGTTGATGGCCTCCTCGGACATGAAGGTGTGGTCGAACTTTGAGAACCGCACACGGTGGCTCTCCAGCTTCAGGCTGACCATCAGCGTCGAGAAGAGGTCCTTGAAATCCCGGCTGAAGGGCCGGTCGTCGCTGGTCATACGCAGAAGGCGCGACGAAGTCTGATGCATTTTGGCGCTTGGCATCTGAGATGTGTCTGCACTGTGTGCCTGAAGCGTATTCCGCCTATTTGAGATGGACGGATTGCTATGATTTCTTTGACTATAAGTTGGAGAGGCTGGTTGGTCAGGCAGGGGCCCAGTATGTGCAGGATCCCCGTTGCTTTCCGTCTGGAGCGGGAAACGAGAACCAAGATGATCCGCGACACCACCACGACCACTCTCGTTGCTGTTACCGCTCCTCCCGCCGTTGATATCTGGAAAGTACTCAGTCGGTGGCGAAGTAGCGGTTGGCGATAGCTTCAAATTGTTGCCGCCGGAGAAGGCTGGAGCGGACCGGACAGGAGGATTGGACGAGCCACCAAGAGAAACAAGGTTATTCAGCGCAGAAGAGGTCTTCTCCAGGGCAATTGCAGCCAGAGAACGTCGACTGAAGCGCGATATCGAGGCGGCTCGGTGATGCGAAGCAGATGTGCAATTACTACTGTTATCTAGAGGGATGTAAGAACGATGAGAATGAGGCAGAGTGTTGGATCCTTCCCGGTATTTGTCGAGGGCGGAACGAGAGCTCATTGAAAGGTCGGGAAGTGGATAATGAGAGAAAAGGGAGAAGTGGTCAAGGCCAGGGCCGTGGTCTTTGATGTCAAGGAAAAGGAAAAATGCAAATCGGTCCTTATGGGAAAGGGGGAAAGAAAAAAAAGGCTTTTTCTCCAATGAGATCAGCGACATACAGCAGTAGACTGGAGGGGGGCCAGGATCATACTCCGTAGTAATTCTAAAGAATAATGGAGAGGACCAGAAATAAAATCAAAGAGAAAAACAAGATTACGGGTAAATAATATTAAAACCTAAATTGAGTTTATTATTATGGAGAATCGATATCTGGGCATCAAAAGTATATCGCGACAGCGCCGGTCTATGGGCAGCAGGGAGAGGAGCCAGGAGCAGGAAGAGTAGATGGTGGAGCAGCGGCAGGTTAAGTCTGCCCGGGAGACGTGAAAACAGACACAGGCAGGATGGGCAGGACGGACAGGCAGCGCAGTAAGACGCAGCAGAGCAGCATGGAAGGTCTAACAAAACCCCAGCTGCAGACAGCAACAGCAACAGTGACAGTGACAGTAACAACCGCAACAACAACAACAAAAAAAAAAAAATGCTGGCGAAAAAAGCAAAGAAAGAAAAAGAATGATGCAGGAGTGGAGCTTTCCATACATCAGAGTTACATACATACAAAATGTTCCGTCCATACAGATTTCCAGACTGAAGAATTTCTGTATTGTGGCCTGGTAAGATTACCTGCCCCCATCCAGTCTCTGTCCATCGCACCGCAATTTATTACGCGCCTGTAATACCATCTCTTGTACTGTACCGGCTCTCCAAGCATGTATTTTTCGATTATCCCCGCTGC